GTCTGAGCACCGCCACCGCCCCCTGCCATTGTCCGCCGCGTGCCCAGCCCGTGCCCTCCGCACGCTGCCACTCCGAATCGAGTCCCCAGCCTGCAAGGCAGAGCTCGTTCTCGGTTAACAAGGGATCGACCGCGGCTTTGAGAAGCGCTCGCAGGGGCCGGAACCCGGTGCTCAGGCGACGGAGCTGCGCTGCAACTCGGGCTCGGACCCCTCCCAGGGGGTAACGGGGAGGCGAGAGATGTCTCCCGGGACTCGCTGGGTGCGGGGCTCACCCTTAAAGGAGTCAGGGAGCCGCCGGGCTTCGGTGTCCTTTCCGTGCCGATTGTCAGCCATGCTGCCCCGCCCGCCCCTCCGGCCCCGCCTCTGGGCAGACGATTCCAGCTCCCGCCCAGGGTTGAGGGGTGAGACCTGAAGGGGCCGGGCGTCCCCAGAGCTGGGGACCCGGCCCACCTGCGACCTCGGAAGGGACTGGCGAGGCCAAAGACGTGGGGAGGCAGCGATGGTAGTCGCCCTCGGGTAGACACCCCTCTGGGTAGAGGCTCACGAGCAAGGCGCCCCCTCTGGGCTGAGAAATAGAGGGAAGAAAATGGCGCCCTCTCCTGGCGGGCCGCGGTCGGAGTTGTGGGCCGATGGCTGAGGCGCACTCACGTGGCTACCGTAAGGACCGAAGTGCGAAGGGAAGGAGCCACCGCGACATCCCGGGCCGAAGGGGACGAGTTTGAGAGAGGTGCGTTTGTTCCAGCTGCCATCATCAGGGGGACGACTTGGGCACCGCAGGGGGAAGGGGGGCAGTCGATAGTACCCTGGGGGGACAGGCAGGCGCTGAACGGCCGCCGGCCCAGCCAACCGGCCTGCAGGGCTCGGTGGGAAGTACCGGCGGTCGCTGTTTTCCAACTTCTGCTTGAGGCCCCAATGGACCAGACCAAGATGGACTCACTCGTGCTTCCGTGTCACATCGTCAGAACGAAGCTCGAAGGGAGCGAATGGATTCCCCCAAATAGTCCAGGGTTTTCCTGGTCTCGGAGGAGACTCCAGTCCACCAAAGTCAGTGCCACGTGGAAATAAAGTGTATGCACTTCTCGAGGCTTTCTTAGGAATGTGCGCCTGAAATAACTCAAGGTGCTAATTCTGAACTCCTTGGACTTTTGTTTTTGAACATCTTTATTGCCCAGGATAGTTCTTTCTTTATTTCACAGACTCACTGGCAACCACACTTTGCTTAATCCATTTCCGTGAGGTCACCCTGCTCCCCTTAGCTAGATATGACTGATCACTGCTGAACGAGACTCCTTGCCACCACCCCCTCGCCCTCTCAGCCGCCTCTCCCCACACGTACAACTTTTGCCTTTTAAATCATCCTGAAATCTGTAATACCTTGGCACATGTTTTCTGGGTACAATTGGTTTTTGTGGTGTCTGGGTGATCATCCCAACTCTGGCCCAAACAGAATCTCTTACTTTATTGGCTTGGCCTCAACCTTCTTTATTTAGGTCGACAAGAGAGTAGCAGAGAGGGTCTCCTTTAGTTAGGGACAAGGGAAGGCCACTGTAAGGAGGTGGCCTTGAGATGTCACCTGAAAGATGAGAGGGAACCAGCCTTGGTGAGGGGGACAGGTGGTGCAGGAGGTTGGAAAGGGTGTCCCAGGCCAAGGGACTAGAAACCTCATATTTGAAAATCACACTGTGTTTTCTGTGACTTGTCCTGATGCAAAATCTTCAGAGTATGTTAGTGTACACAAGAGAGTGTACTTTAAAAGATTTTTTTAAAAAATGAAGTCCAGATTCCCAGAAACTTGCAAGCAATACAGAGAAGTCACATGTACCTTCTACACACTTACTCCAGTAGTTGTGTCTTACTCAACTATCGTAGCAAAACTAGGCAATTGCCTAGCACTTTATACATAGCACTTTGTCACCTGTGTAGATTCACGTAACCACAGCAGTCACAGTACAGTACCATATCTTCACCACAAAGATCTCCCTCATGAGGGGCACTTTTTTTTCTTTTTTTTAAGGCTTTTGCTTTAGGTACGTGTGGTCACTGGAGAGAGTGAGAAAGAGATAGTGAAAGGGAAAACGAGACATCACCCCATCCCCCAAGAGAATGGCCAGATAGTGAAAGGGAAAACGAGACATCACCCCCTCCCCCAAGAGAATGGCCACAGCTGCAGTCCCTTCTCCTCCATTCTCCTCCTGGAGTTTTGGGTATGTATGCACACATGCCTGGAGTGATATTTTTTTTTTTAAAGGTTTTTGCTATAGGGTGCGTGTGCTCGCCAGAAAGACAGAGACAGACAGAAAATGAGAAATCATCCCCTGGGGGATGGCCACGCCACCATCTCTTCTCCTCCATTCTCCTCTTAGGATCTTGGGCACACACGCACACATGACCAGTGTGAGTTTAAGCCACCGAGTCTGGGACTCGAACTGCGGACGACTACATGGGAGTCCCGAGACATAGCCCTTGCTGGTCCTCCCCAGAGTGATTTTTAAGTCACCAGGTCTGGAACTAGAACCTTGGTCGACCCTGTGGGAGTCTAATCACATAACTGCTATGCCATGTGTTGGCCCTACCCCTCCTCCTGTTCTATTTTAATGTGCTAAACATTTGACTGTTTACACACAATACATTCTGTCACTTAGGTACTGTGAAATGGTAGACGTTCTCTCTGGAGGCTTTTGGCTGTCTTGAGGAAATTGGAGTATGGACCACCAACAGGTGGTAAGAGAGGTGTTAAATGCACATTATGGGGGTGGCCAGTAGTCAGCCTTTAAGCACAGTGCATGAGGATGCAGAACTTACCTGGAAGGTGTGCTTCAAGCCCTGGCCCTGGCAGCTTGAAAATCACACTGAGTGCCTGTGTGTGCATGCTGTGAATCCCAACAGGATGGAGACATGGAGGAGAAGGAACTGTAGCATGGCCTTGCCCCATTGGAGGGTTTTTTCTCTCTCTTGCTAGTGAGACGACACACCCTTAAGATAAAATAAATAAATAAAAATAATACATAAATTGGACCAGCAGTTGGCGTAATGGTTATGTTGCTGGGCTCCCACGTAGTCGACCATGGTTTGAGTTCTGGACCTGGTGGCTTAAACTCACACCGGGCGTGTGTGGGTGCATGCCCAAGATCCCAAGAAGAGAATGGAGGAGAAGGGATTGCAGTGTGGCCATCTTCCCTGGTGGGTCAATTCTTGCTTTCTCTCTCTGGCGAGCACACACACCCGATAGCAAAAGCCTCTCCAAAAAAATAAATAAATAAATAATTAAAAGAAAGAAAGGAAGGAAGGAAGAAAAAAAAGAGGGGATAGCAGGTGGTGTAGTGGTTCAGGTTCCTACATGGTTTGAACCCCGGACCCGGCAGCTTGAAAATTATGCCAGGTATGTGTAGGTGGGTGCCCAAAATCCTGAGGGAGAATGGAAGAGGAGGGATTGAGGCATGGCCATTCCCCTTGAGGGGTGATTTCTCACTTTTCTTTTTTCTGTCTCTCTTCAGTGAGTGCCTGTGCCTTATGGCAAAAACCAAAGAGAAAAGAAAAGAAAATTTAAATAAATAAATAAATGGAAAGATGCCCTTGGCTTCTGGGCACAGTCTCTGTCTGGCGTGTGGTAAAATCGGGATTCAGAGTTGCCAAGTTGACTTCTAGTCAAATACCAGCAAAGTACTGTTTATATTCTTAGGGCAGAGTACAGCTTGTGCAGTCACTTCGTTAGCGTTCTGGGAAAGATAAGGAAGGGAGTACAGTAATTTAGTGATGCCGTCTCTGTAAATCATGTTTGAGAAAGTCCACAGCTTCGTTTTTTCCATTCTGCAATGGATAAGCCCCAGAGGCATGAACTTCCTGTTTATGCTGGTTCCCAGGAAAGAAGCTAATTAAACCCTTCAGTAGAGGAGGGCTTAATTACAAATTGCGTATTGTGAAAAAGTATTTAGGCTTCATTTTTGCTGGAAAGACTAATGATATTTCAAAATGAGTATCATGTCTGCAGTGCTGCTTGGTACTCTAGCTCAAGCCTCAAGGCAGTCCCAGCAGCCTCACTTCTGGAGGATTAGAAAAGAAGCCTTTCCCTTTGGGATACAGACTTTGGTAAACACTTGTTGGCTCTGGTTTCAGATTGCATCAGTTCTAGAGGTAATTTCAGGCCCCAAACTAAGAACAAGCTTTGACTTGGTTTTTAAATTATTTTCAGAATAGATGAGAGTTTTCAATTTTGATTTAAATATGCTGAATTTCACTTGTCCATGAAACTGGTTTATTCTGACTTTATCATGCATATTCTGTGTATTGATTAAATGTACTTTAGAAATAAATATTAGCATATCACTCTCTTTCCTTGGGGGATTTTCAGTCTCCAAATTTCTCTTACTAATGATTAGAAGTTAGGATTAAAAGGACCAGCAGGTGGCGTGGTGGTTAAGGTGCTGGACACTCCCACATGGCCAACCACAGTTTGAGTCCCAGACCTGGTAACTTGCTTTCTGATTTTCCCTCTCTCTCTCTGTCTTTCTTTGGTCAAATTAAAATAAGTGAATGAATAAATAAAATAAAATTAGATTTAAAAAAAGAATTAAAAAAGAAAAATTGCCAGAGTGTGTATGCATACAGAAGAGAGAGAGCAAGGGAAAGTGAGAAAGCACCCACCCCCACCCCCACCCCCGCCATGGGCCTGCAATTCCTTCTCCTCCATTTCTCCCTTCTTTTGGGATTTTGTAAACACACCTGGCATATTTCTCAAGCCATTCAGTTTGGAACTTGAACGGCACGGTGGGCCATGTGGGTTCCAGCCACCTTAACTACCAGACTATGTGGCTTGGGTTTGAACTGTGGTAGGATGTGTGGGCTACACTGCCTAGGCTTCATTGCCAGCTTCATATTTGTTTTATGTTTTATTATGCTGTATTTGCCTAGCACATTCAGAGTACCAAATTAAATAGTATTGATGGTGATAGTGATGACATTAAGGCATGGAGCTTGGCTGAAAACAGATATGCATCATGAATCCGTAATCAAATAAGTCAGAAAGAAATTTAATTAGTCTTTTTCCTGTGTCCACAAGAAATGCTTCAATAAGAACAACAGGAACATTCTTATTTAATTTTCTCTTTACATTACGAATGCAAGCTGTTTTCAGTGCCTTCAGTGAAAGCAGTCAGCAGCAGTATCAGCAAGTTACATTTGTTTGTGGCAGTTCCCAGCAGGGGACTAATGAATGCGGTCTGTTTTCCTATATGGCTTACTTCATGTTTATTGTATTACAGCTAGATTTTTTGTCCTCTTAGCTCTTATCTTCAGGAATTACTCCAGAAATTAAATCATATCAAGAGTTTTGCAAGAGA